AAGCGGCATGCGGGGAGGAGAGCGGAGCCGCTGTCCTCCTGTCAGTTTCAGGATGACAGCGGCTGTGTGCGTGGCCGAGCGGATGATCGGTAAGTATCATTGATATTTTACCGATCCTCCTTGTGCAGCACAAACACTGGAGTGATCGTCTGAGCACTCCAGTGTTTGTAAATAACTGGGGACATAGTACTACCATATGTGTCCCCAGTTATGAATGAACAGGCGGTGATTTACATCACCGCCTGTTCATTCATGAATTTCTCAGTGCTGAGGCTGCAGAAAAAGACATAAGGGACTCTGTGTCCTCAATGTCTTTTTCTATTTCAAAAGGGAAATGTCAGGGGTCTGTTTAGACCCCTAATATTTCCCCAAAGCCCCCCCAACAGTAAAATAATAATAAATAATAATTAAAAATGTATAAATAATAATAAAAAATTGTCCTGTATGAATCTCAATTACCAACTGTGATTAGTTCATCAATTTAAGTAAGACCCTAAGATGATGAGGGAATTTTTGACAAGTGTACCCAATTAGGGTCCACCTTCCCAGAAATGTGAAGGCATTTAAACATTTAGAGAACCACCTGGGTACATTCTCAGTGATTTGGCATGTCTGAAGCATTTTTCATCTTTTCTGCAACTTTACCATAGAATCCCTGTGTGTGTTTCTGGCTTTGTACATACTGTCTGCTGTCATTAGTATGCTCATGTGCATCTAACGTGGTCACCTTTTCTGGGAAAATGCTGGCATTATGATCTTTTTCCTATTAATAACATTAGCAACAAGCCACATTTTTACCAGCCAGAAAGAAAGAAGTTAACTCTAAGTGTGGACTGTATTTTTGTATATTATTGTCTCAATAGATATTTAAAGGGATATTAGAAATCAAATGTTTTTTTATGCTATTTCAAATGCAGATTAAATCACTTACAATGGATGCTGCTTCTTGATTTTTTGAAAGTTTTAGTTTCTTGCAGAATCAGCTGGTCCAATGAGCATTGGCCCTGATTTCCTGTTTTAGGGTGGGTCCTTTTCCTTGCAGGCTCCTATGGAGCAACCCATGTGTGTGTAGGTAAGCTGTGTGTGTCTCCACAAACATACAGGTTCAGTAAAGCAAGTCATTCCCCTGCTTCCCTCTCCTCCCTTCTCCAAGTTAGCAGAGGGACAGCTGCTGGAGACTGCTCTGTCCCTTGTGATCTTGCAGTCAACAGGATGTTCAGGGAAGCTGAGCTGGAAGAGTTGGAGCCAGCTGTTCTGAAACATGATGACTGTAAGTACTTGGGCAAAAATGTAAAGAAATACTTTGTCGGGCAATGTATATTTGTTTGATCTGGATTGATTAGTGGAAAAATGTTTGAGAGTTTAATACTACTTCTAATCTAATTTAGTACCATGCCCATTATAATTAGGCCAGATTAATTTTAAATCATGTTAATTTGGCCATGCTCACATTTTGTCCTGCTTCCTTATTACTCTAGAAACTGCTTACTGACGTTGAAATGTTTGCCTTCATGTTAGGCAAACCAAAATTCTGTCTGGTCACTATGTGAACCTTCATGTTTTCTCTCACATTCTTTCCTTCAAGTCTC